GGGGGGGGGTCGTGGGGACATTTATTTGGATTTTTGCCTTCTGGCTTTCAGGTTCTTTTGGTGGTCTTACTCCAACTCCCACTCACTGATGTATCTGCTGCTTCTCCATAGGTCACACTTAGACACCGAAACCACAGAAACCTCCTGCTGCTGTCACCGAGAGGAGCTTGTAAAAACCTGGGAGCTGTCTGCAGGGGCAAAGGATCATCTAAATACTCCACCAATAACCACGTCATGACTTTCGGGCCATGCCGCGCCCACCCAACAGCTGACATAACCTCTCCATATGTGGGCAACCCAACATGAGCCACTGCCCGAACTGGACTCTGGACTTCTCTGCCAGGTTTCTCAGTGAGTCCTAAAAGCAGCCCAGGTTAGGTCCCGAGGAGTCATCGAGGAGTTGAGTTGCTGAATCAGCTGATTGAAGAGTGGAGGAGCTTTCCTGCATCATATGTTGGAAATACACATTCTTAAAAACAACCTTTGCACATGTGGGAGCAATAAGAGCATCAATCTATCACCTTCACAGGTTCTTCACAGTGAAGAGATCCAGCCTGCTGTAGAGGAGCATCGCTGCTGCTGAAGCAACAAGCAACCTTTGATGGGAAGAGAGCTCAGCCCAGCAGGCAGGTCAGCTGTTTACATGCTTCTCTCTAAGCATGCTCAACCCGCTGAACTGATACCCACATGGAGGACAGAATATGTGACTGAAAGCTGACAGCAGGACGGATAGAGACGGTAAACCCCGGAAAACTGGCAGAACAACCTCGGGATGAGTTCTCTCCGGCCACCGTGTGAGAATTAAATATGTCACTGGTGCACTAACAAAGGATCTCAGTTCAACCTTCAGGTGTTAGCACCTTTCCTCGAGATTACCAAACCGTCCCACCCGCATCGCTGTTTGTTTCATCCAGATGGTTTGAGGTCTGGATTCTGGGAATACCTTTAGCTTGGAGCCCCTTCTGGGGATTTTAAAGGTTGCCTGGCATTTACATGTAAACAGCCAAGTGACTTCAATGTGAGTCACTGTGATTCTTACACCTGCTTCAGAGGTTTTCCTCTGTATTTCTATATTTCCTGTATTTTTCGGACTATAAGGCACTTAAAATTCTTTAATTTTCTCAAAAATCGACAGTGCGCCTTATGTATGAATTCTGGTTGAGCTTACTGACCTCAAACCAATTTTTTGTGGTACACGACACTCAAAAATCTGCTTCAACATAATATTATGGTGTGATTATAAGGACCCCAAAATGGCACCTTTTAAGAGACATGCTTACGGGCCGAAATCGCCCACCTGTCAAACTCAGACACTGAAGATTGAGAATTTGATGGATTTCTGGACGAAGAATGAACTGAAAAAGTGAGTGTTTTGTTCTGTATTTTATGTGTTACAACTGAACAATGTTGAGAGTTATCGTATATGAGTTGATTAAAGTTTGAATTATGTAACAGTTTTGTTTTGCTTAATGCACCTTATAATCCGGTGCGCCTTCTGTAACAAAATAGACCCATTCATTGATATTGTGCCTTATAATCCGGTACGCCGTATAGTCCAAAAACTACGGTACATTATCAGTTGTAATCACACATAAATAAATCCAGGACCAGGACAAGAGTGGGAGAAGATCCACACAAGGACCCTCTGGCTGTTTGCTGACTGCTGTTTCATTATCAGCTCATTTTAAAAAAAGACCTGATCTCCTCTTTAAAGGCTGAAACTGAAGTCCACATGAAGAGGTGGTTGCATGAATCTTATCTGGACCAAAGCTTCACTTTGTTCACTTTACTGTTTCACCATAGGCACCAAGTGTACTAGGGCTGGCATCTGGAACAATACACAGCTAAAAATGTCATATTAAATTAAAATGTAATATATTTCCAAAGCATAAAGAGTACTTTATGAAACGTACCTGTAAATAACGTTAACCTTCATGTCACAGAGCTTGAATTTCCACCAAACCGCACCAGCGGAGCTCAGGCTGCACTCCCGGTCATCAGATACATGCACGAAACAAACGTTTGACCTTTGAACTGCACCCCGACACTAACACAGAACCAGTGAAAGGACGCTAGCAGTCACAGTGATTGAATGGTTCTGTCTGCTTGAGCAAGTAAGCAGCCTTGGTATTAGCATTCAGAACTACCTGAAAACAATCCAGGGCAGATTTACTAGTTGAGGAAAACAGCGATCGACAGAAATCCATACAGGACAAGACTGAGTACATCAACTTACACCATCTTACACCCCAAAAATCCCTCCATAAGCTTCAACTGGTTCAAAACTCTGCTGTTCGCATTATTATCAGAACCCCCTCCTACCAGCACATCACCCCTGTTCTTCAGGAACTTCACTGGCTCCCAGTGAAATTCAGGATAATATACAAACTTCTTCTGCTCACCTTCAAGACCCTTCATAACCTTGCTCCTCCTTACCTTTTTGACCTGTTAAGCACTACCTACTCGCTACTACTGCCCACTCACTTTGATCTTCTTCTTCTTCTTCTATCCCGTGCCTTCTTTCCACCTCACCACAGTGGGAAGGAGAGCTTTCAGCTGCTCTACTCCCAGGCTGTGGAGCTCTCTACCCCCAGATTTAAGAAACATTGATTCCCTCCCCCTGTTTAAATCTTTAACTCAAAACCTATCTGTTCAAATCTGAATATTCACTGTGAACCCACTGTTTGTTTTTGTTTTTATTGTCCTTCATTTTGTCATCTCTATTATATGTTTTATTCTATTGTTAAGTGTCCTTGGGTGTCTTGAAAGGCGCTTTTAAAATAATTTAAATAATAATAATAATAATAATTATATTATTATTATTATTATTTTATACTTATTATTTTATACTTATTATTATTAATAATAATTATTATTATCATTATTGTTAATATCTATAGAAACTATATACCCTGGCAGCAGTCAGGCGGCCCGTTAGCATCAATAATAACCCGATCGATATATCAATGACTGATAAACATGCGTCAGAGTTGACTGTATGTCCACTGTGTTCGCTCATTATCTTCGTGCCGCTGTGGCGGCTCGCCCTACTCTAACTTCAAGTTCCTCTTCATGTTGTAAGCCTGACTCATGCAGGTAATCAGTCCTTGTTACAGATGTCTGTGTTTATTTGTATGAAACATCTGGAAACACCGGCCTCACTGTGTGACTGCACATCTGATATTTCTGTTTCTCTGCTGAAGCAGCTTCATCACTCAAAACCACGAAGAGACAGCATGTGCTCACTTTAATCAGACAAGTCCATCAAGTGCTTAACCTCCACCCTCAAGGCTGAGTGCGCACACACACATACACACTAACACACACACTCCCCACTCATACATGAATAAGCTTGATGAGATGAGTCTGACCTCAACTCTGTGCTGAATGTATGAAGGTGCTGGAAGGAAACAGTTTGAATCATTAAATGATGGCAGTGAGCTCAGCCTCAACGGCCAGGCTGAACCAATGAAAATGCTGAAAATGTGTAGCAGGAAATAAAAAACCAAACAGGGACTGACGGACTGAAGGTGGCGATAAAACTGACCTACAGGAACAGGAGGCCTGATTCCAGCCTGAGATCTTCTCCCAGAGCTCGACTAACAGGTTCAGGTTCAAATGGTCATCAATCCAAACAAAGCTCTCGGATATTAATAAAATGACTGACCTGTAGTCTATGAAGAACATCCTCACGTAGCTCTTCCTGTTCTCCAGATGGCTCAGCACTCTCTGTGAAGGGCGATGGACCGATTTGCTCTGTAAGCAAACTACTACCCCTCCATGGAGGGAGGGGGGTAAAGAGTCTCTGATGTACAGTTTTCGTCATATTTTCTCACCACTCTGGCTCTTTTCTTCTCACATTTTCATATTTGGAACTTTATTATATTAAGATAAACTTGATTTTTCTAACTGAGGGACAGGAACATATGCACTGTGAGTGCTTTTGAGGTGATGATGAGATTAAGCTTGACTGTCTTCAGATGTAGCTACTTCAATGGAGAAGCATAAATCCAGATGTTTAGAAGACCCGACCTGCACATGTGGAAAAATAGAGATTTCTTCTGTTTCAGAGTGTAAATATTTCCTGCAGCTGTGGGTTTGAAACTGTGCATAGCGTTATTTCTGATGATTCCTCTAAGTGTGTGGCACCTTTGCAGTATCAGTCACATGACCTAGCAGCTCTGTCTCAGGTCAGGTGCTGCCTCCATCAGTGGATTCAGCTCATACTCACGCAGATAAAAAAAAAATCCAATCATGTGTGAGCATTTTCCCGGCAGTGCATCCTTCTCAAGGACGCCTGGCCTGTAGTCGCTAAAGGGGGCAGGCGTGTGTGTGTGTGTGTGTGTGTGTGTGTGTGTGTGAAATGCTGACTGGCCCACTTTGAGCCTCTCTCACCTTTAAAGCCGGTGCTTATCAATCAAATGTGTAATTTGCACCTGTGCGTCTATGAGATTTCTCCCCATTAAGCTCTTGAGCTGCTGATTTCATTGATTAGCTCCTCCTCTGGCTTGGCGGAAATCATGCTGAGGAGCTCTAACGAGGCCTAACAAGGGTGGCTCACCTGCACAGGGCGTCCGAGCGGCAGGTGCGCCGCAGCTCCAGACAGCTGGCTTTGTGCCTCTCCTGGTGTGAGCAGGACGGGACAATGGTGCGACGGCGACGCTCAGCACACGCCTGGTCCGGGCACGAGCAGAACAGCAGGGGGTAGCTCAGCTCCCATGACACCCGCTCGAAAAACTGTCGCAGGGCCTGAAACACACGGCGCGAAGAAAAAGGTAAACAAGACGAGGAATGTGGTACAGGTGATTGAGTGCAGCGAAAAAGCTAAAAGCACTAAACTATTATTCCTTAATATGAGAAAAGAAGCCTGCATTAACAGTATAGCACAGCCTGTTAAATAATAATATCACTTTCCTAAGTGCCGAGGGAGACAACCGCCTGGCCGGGACTGGTGTCTGCATTTATCTGGAATATAAACTAGGAATTCCCAAATTAGGAAAAAATATCTGGAAAGAGAAAAGTGGCAAAGTGGTCTGTTTCACTGAGGAGGGATCTGCAGCATCACTGGTCCCTTTGATTTAATCCTCACTAGCTTTACAACAAACCAGTGAGACTGGTGTCCACAGGTATCCGCATGGTCGGGATGCTGAGTAAAATGTTAAAAAGAAATCTGAATGATTCAAAATGAGCTTAGATTTTTATTAAAACTGAATTTCCTCAGTTTAAACACGTGACAGGTTTTCTGTTTTATACTGAGAATAAATTCTAGATTTCTGAGATCACTGCATTCTCTATTTATTCACGTTTAATTCAGCATGAAAACTTTGTCAGGATTGGGGTTGTACACGGATAAAAGTTGTTCATGTCACACCTGCAGGAGGCCCTCAGCGTGAACCTCCTGGCACACAGCTTCTGTGCTGATGTTAATGCTGAAGGAGATCTGGAGCGCTGCAGTGACCCCAGTACTAACATAGCGTTCCACACATCTCACGGGTCTGAAACATCTGGGCTCAAAGATCAATAGGTCTAAATGTTTTTGTTAGAATCCCGGTGAAGGCCTAAACTTCTTTGGATGCAGCTCATTTGTTTTGCTTGTTAGACTTGTCAGAATTGTTTGCGGCTAGGGATGTGTACCGGTTCTGACATAAACGGTAGTAACCAGACCGAAAAGCAGCGCACATTTCGGTGCTTTTTTTCCCCTGAGATGTCATACACTTCAGATTCTAGCCAATCATTTTACCTTTGCAAGCGTAGTAGGCGGGCCCAGGTACGTACGTTCTTTTAGAGCAGAGCTACAGATTAAAAATGCCCAAGGTAGGTTTTTTTTTTAATTTTTTATACAGCTTGTGAACTCACTGTCTGACCCATACTCCGGAACAGTAGGAGGCGGTAATGCTCCTTTACGTTGGTTGCCAACCGCCGTTAAACACAAAGAAGAAGAAGAAGAAGAAGAAAATGCCCAAGGCGAAGCGGTCAAAAGTCTGGCTGTACTTCACAGCAAAAGATGCAAACTCAGCAGCCTGCAACAAGTGCTTTAAGGTGATACTGTGCAAAGGAGGTAACTCCTCGAATCTGATGAAACACCTGGTGACGTATAGCATTTTGTTAAAAGCAGAGAAATGCACCGTATTTGATAGACCTCACATCGAGCACATCTACTGCGGGTGTGGTGCCTGTTATCGGACCGGAGTTAGCAACATCCCCCAAAAACCCGAAGAGTAGAGCCCTGGCCCCTAGCCCTGCCAGTGTAGCAGAAATCATGACGGATGATGATGCAGCAGCAGCCGTTCTTCTCTGCGTGAGTAGCTTAATGTTGTTCGTGTGCAAGCTAACCACGTTATTAAATTAATGCATGTAAGGTGAACTAGCAAACACCGTTGTAGTTCCATACGGCTGTCTTCTTGTTTGATGGCAGATACTCCCTTCACCCTGGCCAAAAAGGCTAAAATGACCAAAGGAAAAGTGGGAAACAGCTAAACATGAGAGATTTTTGGACAAAGTCTGTGTTCTCCATTCTTTAAGCACCGGTTCGAGCACTGTTTAAGCACCGTCACCGTTTCAAAAGTACCGGTTTGGTACTGGTATCGGATAAAACCTAAATGATACCCATCCCTAATTGTGGCATCATTTGAAGACATAAACTGTAGATAAAAGATGGACTTTGCCTGCAGTCTTTCTCATGTCCATCAGGGGGTGATTCCTCAGGTCTGATTGGATAGAAGTCTGTTCGAGAAGTCTGAGCGTCCTGTTCAACTGGTCTCTGAGCTCAGTTAACTGTTTCCTGTCAGGTGTGACTGAATCAAACAGGATGTTACCTTTTGCATTATTATAATTGCAGGGTCGTGACCTTACAATATAAAACGCCCTGAGGCAATACTGAAGTTGAAACCTGACGAGTCTAGAATTACTTCAGCTGTGATGTTTCCTGACACGCTCAGAGAGGCTGCTCTGGATCCTCACAGTAAAATCTGCTGCACTGAATCTGTGTTTGAGCATCTTCAGTGTCACTGACTCACAGTTGGTAAAAACTCCTCACTACTCTGAGCCGGGAGCAAAACTGGCAGTTTTTCTGCAGGTGTTTGGCTGTGGCCTGGTGATGAGGACACACAGACTTATTGGATTTTCCCAGCAGTCTGTGATCCATGGAGCCCAGGGGTGTTCATCTCAGCCTCGGAGCTGTGGAGCTGAATTTAGATGCTTTCTCAGGTGAAATATAACCGTATTAAAAAAGCATTTTAAATGCTGCACTTTTACTTGACTGTATTTAAAGATTTTATTCCAACAAACAGTTTGTGTAATTCTGCCACTGACGTAAAAGTGAAACCGAGGAGGAGGAACTTGAAACGTTAATAACCTTTTAGCCTTTAGAAAGCTTTTAGCATCACAGCCTGCGCAGCGCTGATACCATAACACCAGCTCGGCAGTCCAGGCGCTGTCACATCATCACCATCATCACCATCATCAGAGAGACCCTCGGACGGTTTAAACATGGAGGTCGTGAGGTTTGAGCCTCAGGTGCCACAAATGCTGTAAATGATGCTCAATCACTTTGAAGGGCGCTGAGACACGGGCAGCTGTCAGTGCTAGCTGTGTGCTTACTGCACACGTGCATATGTTTGTGCTGGTGGAGCATTTTTTTTAATGACATCATCTGACCAATAATATGGCTGCTATGAGGTTACTGTACTAAAAGATCATCTGAGAATAATTACATAATTTACACCTGCAGGTATTATGACCTGGTAAACAGATCAGTCTGTGAGTGAGTACTGCATGCTCTCAATTTACATGAACTAGTTTCAGTCAGAGGCTCAGAAGGAAAAACGGTTATTTATTTAATTTTTATGTTGGCCTTATTGACAGATACAGTGAAGAACTGGCAGGAAAGCAGAGGGAGAGAGGGGAAGACATGCAGCAAAGGGCCGCGGGTCAGATTTGAACCTGGGCCGGCCACTCCCAGCCATACAGCACATGGGTACCTGCTCAACGCACTGAGCTCAACTGCCACCCTGAGCAGTTATTGACGAATCAGAAGGTTGGAGGTTTGACCCCCTGCTACTGCAGTCTGTATGTTGAAGTACCGTTGGGCAAGATACTAAAGCCTGGTGCATCCATCCGAGTGAGTGTGAGTTAAACCACTTGTTTCAATACAGAAAATTGTGCCTGTGTGACCAGGAGGATGAGGCCTGAAGGACCTTCAGCATAAAACAGGGCTTATACTGTTTTATGCTGCCTATACTGAAAAAGGACAATCTTGACAAGACACAAATGAACAACTACAGGCCGATCTCAAATCTCCCATTTTTAAGTAAGATCATTGAAAAAGCAGTTTCTCAACAGCTCAATTACTTCTTAAAACAGAATAACTGCTATGATGCCTTCCAGTCGGGTTTTAGACAGAACCACAGCACTGAAAC